GGGATGTCTTTCCATTTGTTTGTGTCATCTTCAGTATCAGTGCCTTGTGGTTTTCCCTGTAGAGATCTTTTATCTCCTTGGATAAATTTATTTCTAGGTTGTTTTTTTTTTTTTGGTAACTTTTATAAATGGAAATGCCTTCTTGATTTCTCTCTTAGCTAGTTCTTTATTAGCATATAGTTTCTTAGCATATAGAAACACTATTAATTTTTGTATTTTGATTTTGTGTCCTGCAAAAATGTACTGATTTATTTATCAGATCTAAGAGTTTTCTGGTGTATTCTTTATTCATTTTTAAATATAAAATTATATTATCAGCAAAGAGTGACCATTTGACCTCCCCAACTTGGATGCCTGTTATTTCTTTTTCTTGCTTGCTTGCTCTGGCCAGGACTTCTGGTACTATGTTGAATAAGAGTGATCAAAATAGGTATTTTCATCTTGGTCATTCAGTATGATGTTAGCTGCAGATTTGCCTTACATGGCTGATAGAGTTTGGATATTTGTCCCTGCCCAAATCTCACATTGAATTGTAATCTCCTGTTCTGGAGGTGGGGACTGGTGGGAGGTGTTTGGGTGATGGGGGTGGATTCTTAACTATTATAGTAAGTGAGTTCTCATGAGATCTAATCATTTAAAAGTGTGTGGCACCTTCTGCTGTACTCTCTCTTGCTCTCTTGTTCCTGCTTTCACCATGTGATGTGCCTGCTCCATCTTTACCTTCTGCCATGATTGTAAACTTCCTGAGGGCTCCCTAGAAGTTGAGCAGATGCCAGCACCATGCCTCCTTAAAAAGCCTGCAGAACCATGGGCCAATTAACTCTCTTTCCTTTATAAATTACCCAGTCTCAGATATTTCTTGATAGCAGTGCAAGAATGACCTAATAATACAGTGGCCTTTATTATATTGAGGTGTATTTCTCCTGTGCCTAGTTTATTGAGAGTTTTTATCATGAAAGGATATTGAATTTTATTAAATGCTTTTTCTGCATTTATTGAAATGATCGTATGATTTTTGTCCTTCATTCTGTTAATGTGATGTATGTTTATTTGTGTGTGTTTTGCCAAACTTATATTCCTAGAATACATCACTTGATCATGATGTATTGTTTTGTTTTGTTTTGATGTGCTGTTAGATTCGGTTTGCTGACATTTTGTTGAGAATTTTTGAGTCTGTGTTATCAGGGATATTGGCCTATAGTTCTTTCTGTCGTTGTTGTAGCCTTGTCTGGTTTTGTTATCAGGGTAATGCTGGCCTTATAGTATGAGTTAGGAATAATTCCTTTCTCTTCTATTTTTTGGAATAGTTTGAGGAGAATTGGTATTAGTTCTTTGAAGGTTTGGAATTCAGCAATGAAGCCTTCTGGTCCTGGACTTTTTTTTTTGTTCAGAGAGTTTTTATTACAGATGCAATCTCATACTTGTTTTTGGTTCTGTTTTCTGTTTCTTCTGATTAAATCTCAGTGGGTTATATGTGTCCAGGAATTTATCCATTTCCTCTAGATCTTCTACTTTTACATAGTTAGTTGTTCATAATAATCTCTGATGATCTTTTTGTATTTCCATATTACCATTCTAAAGTCTGCTTTTTCATTTCAGATTTTGTTTATTTGGGTCTTTTCCTTGGTTAGTCTAGCTAGCAGTTTATCAATTTTGTTTTACCATTTTGAGAGACCAACTTTTCATCATGTTGATCCTTCTTTTTTTTAATCTCTATTTTGTTTAGCCCTGCTCTGATCTTATTTCTTTCCTTCTACTAGTTTTGAATTCGGTTTGTTCTTGCTTTTCTGGTTTCTTGAGATACATTATTAGATTGATTATTTAATATCTTTCTACCTTTTTAATGTAGGCATTTAATACTGTAAATTTCCCTTTTAGAACAGTTTTTGCCATGTCTCATATTTTGGTGTTTTGTTTTCTCATTTGCTTCAATAAATTTTTGTATTTTCTTAATTTCTTTTTTGACCTGATGGTCATTTGGGAGCATGTTGTTTAGTTTCCATATATTTGCATAGTTTCCAGAGTTCCTCTTGTTACTGATTTCTAGTTCAATTTTATTGTGTCTGAGAAGATATTTGATACAATTTTGATTTCTTTAAAAAAATTGCTGATACATTTTTTATTCTAACATATGTTCTAAAAATTGTTACATGTGCTGATGAGAAAAATGTGTGTTCTATAGCTGTTGGATGAAATGTTTTGTAAATGTCTGTTAGGTCCTTTGATTTAATGTGCAGTTTAAGTCCAATGTTTATTTGTTCATTTTCTGTCTAGACTTTCTGTCTAATGCTTAGAGTAAGGTGTTGAAGTCTCCAACTATTAGTGTATTGGAGTCTCTCTCCCTTTAGATATAATAATATTTGTTTTATGTGATAATGTTTGGTTTATGTGTCTGGGTGCTCCATTGATACATGCATGTGTTTTAAGTTGTTAAATCCTGTTGTTGAATTGATCCATTTGTCTTTAAATAATGGCCTTTATCTTTTTTTCATTGTTTTTTTACTTAAAATCTGTTTCATCTGATAAGTATAGCTGCTCCTGCTTGCTTTTGGCTTTTGTTTGCATGGAATATCTTTTTCCATCCCCTTACTTTCAGTCTGTATGTGTCTTTACAGGTGAGATGAGTTTCTGGTGAGTAGCATATAATTGGATCATGTTTGTTTAATTCATTTAGCCAGTCTCTATCTTCTAAGTGAAAAGTTTAACTCCTTTACATTCAAAGTTATTGATGTGTGAGGGCTTATTCCTGTCATCTTATTAATTGATATCTGGTTGTTTTGTATATTCTGTGTTCCTTTCTTTCTCTCTTATTGCTTATCTGTAGTGCTCACATTTCATTCTTTTCTCTTTCTTGTTTGTATGTTTTGCTTTCTCGGTGGCATTCATGTTTGCATGATGGTAGATATCATTCTTTTCACTTCTAGATATAGGATTCCCCTAAGCACTTCTTGTAGGGCTGGTGTAGTGGTAATAAACTCCCTCAGCTTTTGCTTCTCTGGGAAAGGCGTTATTTCTTGTCCTTTATAAAGGATAACTTTGCTGAGTATAATATCAATTAATATCCATATTTTCTCTTAGCACACTTAAGATACATCATCCTATTCTCTTAAGTGTTCTGCTGAGAAATCCACTGTTAGTGTGATGGAGATTTATTTATAAGTAACTAGATGCTTTTTTTTTTCCTTTCCTTTCCTTTTCTTTTTTCCTTTCCCCTTCCCTTCCCTACCCTTTTTCCTTCCTTTCTTTTTTCCTTCCTTTCCCTTTTTTCTTCCCTTCCCTTTTTCCTTCCCTTTCCTTTTCCTTTCCCCTTCCCTTTCCTTTTCCTTGTCCCTCCCCTCCACTCCTTTCCCCTCTCCCCTCCCTTTCTCTCCCCTCCCCTTCCCTCTCCTCCTCTCCCCTCCTCTCCCCTCTTGATCTGTCACCCAGGCTGGAGTGCAGTGGTATGATTTCAAATCGCTGCAACTTCTGCCTCCTGGGCTGGCTCAGGTGATCCTCCTACTTCAGCCTCCAAGTAGCTGGGACTACAGGTGCATGCCACCATGGCCAGCTAATTTTTATATTTTTAGTAGAGATGGGGTTTCACCATGTTGCCCAGGCTGGTCTTGAACTCCTAGACTCAAGCAATCCACCCACCTTGGCCTTCCAAAGTGCTAGAATTACAGATGTGAGCCACTGTGCCCAGCCTATTCTTCTTTTTCAAAAGTTGTTTTAACAGCTTACAGCAGTGATGGGTTCAAACAGTAAAATTTGTCCGTCTGGCATGTGAAAATGTGCAGCCATCTTTCTGCTGGGGGGGCTAGGTCACTGCTATTGGCTCCCACCTTAGCCCTGGCAGCAGCAGCTGCAGGCCAGGAATGTCAGTGGTGCTCTAGGGATTTTCCATTGGGCCTCAGGGCAGGGCACAGTCTCTGGGGGCTGGGCTCCCAAAATGGTACCAGAGTATTGTTAATTAGCAGCTTTTTTAGCAGCTGCTTAGGACTTAGGGGTTTGTTGGACTCAATATGAGCCCTTCCTCTCTGGAGCAGTGCTTTTCCAGACAGTCTCCTATGTTAGTCTCAGGACCCACAAGGGCCGAGGGACTCTCTCATGGCTAGGATTGTAGGAGTCTGCAGCCAGAGTGTGGACCACTGGAGGTCTCTCATTTACCCTTTCCCTGTATTAGGGAGACTCTCTAACTCCACTAGTAGGTTTTAATACTGATGAGAGTCTTTCTCTGTGTAATACAAACTAAGCAAATGCATTTTCTTCCACTTTCTAGCAAAGTCCCACTGAAATGCTTTCATCCATTTGGCTCACCATGCCATCACTTCTCCACTGAAATGGCTGGTCCAAGGCCAAGTCTTCAGGCATTTGATCCTCACTGCAATGCTATGGTAGTCAGAAACCCCTTTTTACCCTCTTTAAAGTATCCTTTGAAAAATAGAATTTCTTCATTTTTATAGTCCAGTTTGTCAGTTTTCTTTTGTGGTGTTAACTTTTTGTGTCCTGTTGAAGATTGCCACGATGATGAAGATGTTCTTCTATGTTTTTCCTTTAAAAGTTTGTTTTACCTCTTGCAGAATCAAATCAGCTAGAATTGATTTTTGTTTATGATATAAGAAGAGAATCAAGATACAATTTTTTTCCCATGTGGATCTTCAGGTGACACGTTACCATTTATCAAAAAGACCATCTTTTCCCCAGTGCACTACAGTGACACCATGTTATAAATCTGCCGACTATGTATGAGTGGGTCTGTTTCTGGGCTCTCTGTTCTAATACGTTGGTCAATGTGTTTATCCTTGCACCAGGAAATGGTTATTTAAAAAATAACATAAGATTTTTTAATGAATTAAGTATGTATGTACTTATGTGTGAGTTAACCAAACATCAGCATCTTTATTCCAAGCTTTGAGATCATTTAAAAATTTCAGTATAAGTAAAAAGATGGGATTGAAATTTGTGTAGTTCTTATAAAATATTTTTAAAAGGTTATTTTACATTTTTCATGACTTTTACAGGTTTGCATGGATGTGTTTAAGAAATATATAAATATCAATGAACTGTGTTTGCTACAGCGTGCAGGTATGAAACAATTAAATGATTAGTATAAAGCTATCAATGTGGGAATATTAAGTAATGTGCTGTTGTTTGAAAATAGTTTAAAAGTAAATTCAAAATTTTGTAACTTTGAAAACTGAATGCCTTACCCAAGAATGCTCTGTTGGCCTAAGAAAGGATTGAAAATAAATGAGATAAAAGTGATAAACTACCTAACACTGTCATTCCCTTGCACACTAATAATTTCATGACTTAGATATTTTATTTACAAGTGTAAGATAGAATGGTATTGTTAATTAGTCTTTAACTCTATCTAAAGGGATTTTTCAGAAACTAAATCTTTCCTACTTCTTCATCCTTCTTTTTTTACCTTTCCCTCTTGTGGCTAGTGCACCATCCAGTGAGTTCTCTGCAATCCCTGTACATGCTAGGCTGTGTTAAAACTTCAAGGTTACTATTACCACTTCTGTCTGTCAGGGATGCTTCTAGTTCCATCCCCTTTCCTCATGGCAAAGAACTATTCAGACTTTGAGGCTAAGACATAGGAAATGGGATTACCTCCTCTATTAGGCCCTTATCTGATTCCACAACCCCATCCCATTCTTTGCTACCTTCTCTTCATACTATTAGTAAGCTGCAAGAGGATGGAGATCATGCTTAATTTGTATTTGTCACCCTCACACAACCACCAAAGCCACATAGATGTGGTCATAGAGCACCTTTACTTCATATATTTCTGCTTGAGAGCTCATTCTGCTAAAAAAAAAAAAAAAAAAAAAACAAAAAAAGGTATCTGACAGGTTTACTGTTTTGTTTGGCTGATGATATCATCTCCCCAAGGATTAAAGGAAACACTTAAGGGAATGGCTAGTCTGAACTTAATCTAACTATAGCAAAGAAGTAGTAGTTAAAGTGAAGTAATAGGAGCCTATCTGGGAATGTACTTGTGACCTGAGGGATTTTGATAGCCAAGGAGGAGAAACTTTATAGGTTAGATGTGGATGAACTTTTAAATTCCAGAAATAATTCCATAACATGAGATGTGAAAGAAAAGAGGATGTCATGAAAAAGATGCAAAACTCCCCAAAATATAATTCGAACTGTAAAGATCCAATATGGCCACAGGAGAAATACATCTGAATTTTGCTTTAAAACAATTAATACGGAACAAAAATAAGAGCCTGTAGCAAAGAATAAATGTAGAAAGTTGTCAAGGACCTATGGAAATTTTTTGGTGTGAAATAAAAATAAAAGCTTAGATCAGTAGGAAAGAATAGACAGCTCAGAATAGACCTGATATATATGAGGGGTTTAGTGTTTAGAAAGACCATAGGATTTGAGACAAGAGGAATCACTTTAAAAATGATAACTAGATAGCAACTTAAAGAGACTCTGAGTACCATAGTATAAGGTATGGATTTAGCTGCTCAGGTTCTACAGAGAGGCCTCGGGAACCATTTTGGTGTACAAGGGAAGGGAGCCGAGTCAGTGGACTCTCCCACCCCCTGTTTAACCATAGTTTCTTGTTATCTATTTTATATTTGAATTTCCACATAAAATTCTTTGGAGAAGTTTCTAAATTTTAAGTTTTTATTTAGAAATAATTTTAAATTTACAAAAATCCGTGGAAATAAAAATAATACAAACAATAGTCATATACTTACTTTATCATTTGGATTTGTTCTCTCTCCTCCTTTCCATGCATGTGTGTGTACACACATGTGCACATATGTGCATGGCCATACACACAAATTTTTTCCTGAACCACTTAGTTAAGTTGCACACATCATGGCCCTTTATCACTAAATACTTTAATGCATATTTCTGAAAAAGTAAATTTAACATGAGTATGATAGTTTTGTCTAATCTATTATTTATATTCAAATTTTGTCAGTTGACCCAAATTTTGTCAGTTGACCCTCACACAACCACCAAAGCCACATAGATGTGGTAATAGAGCACCTTTACTTCATATATTTCTGCTTGAGAGCTCATTCTGCTAAAAAAAAAAACAAAAAAAGGTATCTGACAGGTTTACTGTTTTGTTTGGCTGATGATATCATCTCCCCAAGGATTAAAGGAAACACTTAAGGGAATGGCTAGTCTGAACTTAATCTAACTATAGCAAAGAAGTAGTAGTTAAAGTGAAGTAATAGGAGCCTATCTGGGAATGTACTTGTGACTAGAGGGATATAATGACCTTTTATAGCATTTATCCCTCTAGTTTGGGATCCAGTCCAAGATCAGGTGTGCATTTAGTTGTCATGACTCTGTAGCTTCCTTTAATCTAGAACATTTCTACAGTCTGTCTTGGACATTTTGGGAGCATGTATGTGATTAAATTTACATAAAATTTGCCATTTTCAACATTTTTAAGTTTAAAATTCACTGGCATTAAGTACATTCAGTGTTGCATAATCATCACCATTATCCATTTCCAGAACTTTCTCATTCCAAACAGAAACTCTGTACCCATTAAATAATAACCCTCGTTACCCTCATTCTCAGCCCTTAATAATCTCTGATTTACTTTCTGACTCTATGAGTTTGTCTATTTCTAAGTATTTCATATAAGTAAAATCATCCAATATTTGTCTTTTTGTGTCTGGATTATTTCACTTAGCATAATGTCCTCAAGGTTTGTCTATATTATAACATGTATCAGAATTTCCTTCCTTTTTAAAACTGAATAATGTCCTATTATGGGTATATATCACATTTTGTTTATATATTCATCTGTTGATGGACACTTGGGTTGTTTTTTCCTTTTGGGTATTAGAGTAATGTTGCCAAGAACCTTGACGTATATGTCTCTATTTGAGCTCTCATTTTCAGTTCTTTTGGGTATATACCTAAGAGTAAAACTATAGGTCCTTTTTATCTGTTTTATATTTGAATTTTCACATAAAAATTTTCTTTCCAGAAGTTTTATGGCCAAAGACGTTTTAAAACAGCTGCTATTTAGCTTATATCAGAATGAATCAATGAAGTATATTAGCAATTCAGTAGAAAAAAATTTTTAATCAGATATTTAGAAAGATGACAATTTCTGTGGTTTAAAGTAATCAAAGGGAATATAAAGATAGAAATTTGATCACATAAATTTGAGCTAAAGAGCTATTATCTTCAGTATTTTAGATTTACCACTGGTAATATATAAAAATATTTCAATATATAAGAATAATGAGTTCAATCAGCTGTTTAGAAAGGCATGAATACTGTTTCTTCTTGTGAAAATTAGAAACATTTCAAGAAGAAAATGCAGTGGTTAATGATTCCCTAGAATTACGCATTTCTAACCAAAGAAAGGAGTAAAGGTACCTGATTCTGGTGAGTAATTGGTAAAGTAGCATTATGAATTGACAAACCTTTTTAAAAAGCAATGTAGGCTGGGGGCAGTGGCTCACACCTGTAATCTCAGCACTTTGGGAGGCTAAGGTAGGTGGATTGCTTGAGCCCGGGAGTTTAGACCAGCCTGGGCAAAATGGCAAAACCCCATCTCTACAAAAATAAATTTTAAAAATTAGCCAGGCATGGTGGTGCACACCTGTAGTCCCAACTACTTGGAAGCTGAGGTGGGAAGGTCGCTTGAGCCCGGGAAGTAGAGGTTGCAGTGAGCCAAGATCACAACACCACTCCAGCCCTGGGTGACAAAGCAGGACCATGTCTCAAAAAAAATAAATGAAGTAAGAGACAATATAGCAGTTTGTGTTAAAATTTATTAAAATATTCAGACAGTTTCTACCCAACAGTTTAACAAGAGAGGATCATTATTTGTTTTTGGTTTTGTTTTGAGACGGAGTCTCCCTCTGTCCCCCAGGCTGGAATGCAGTAGCTCAATCTTGGCTCACTCTAACCTCTGCCTCCTGGGTTCAAGCAATTCTCCTGCCTCAGTACCTCCCCAAGTAGCTGTGACTACAGGCATGCACCACCATGTCTGGCTAATTTTTTTTGTATTTTTAGTAGAGATGAGGTTTCACCTTGTTGGCCAGGCTGGTGTGTCCACCACCTGGACAAGAGGTGCGTGTCCACCACACCTGGACAAGAGGATTATTATTTTCAATGTAGAAAATATATTAACATTTTTAAAATAATGAGTTCAGGTGTGGTGCCTCACGCCTATAATTTCAGCAATTTGGGAGGCTAAGGCAGGCAGATCACCTGAGGTCAGGAGTTCAAGACCACCTTAGCCCACATAGTGAAACCCTGTCTCTACTCAAAATACAAGAAAAACAGCCAGGCGTGGTGGCACACACCTGTAATCCCAGCTACTCGGGAGACTGAGGCAGGAGAGCCACTTGAACCAGAAAGGCAGAGGTTGCGGTGAGCTGAGATGGTGCCACGGCACTCCGGCCGGAGTGACAGAGCTAGACTCTGTCTCAAATAAATGAATAATGACAAAAAGGAGGAAGGTTGCATGTCAATTAGTAGACTATTTATACACTGGCTAACATAAATTTAACTGCACCTTTTTTGAATGTCTATAATTTCAGTTTTATTAATAAGCTATAATAATACTCTGGGTTTACTATTTTATCAGTCGATCTGCTTCTGTACAGGCAACTGTATAAATACTGCCAAAAGTATCGCAGCAGGCCGAGGCAGGAGAATTACTTGAACCCGGGAGACAGAGGTTACAGTGAGCCGAGATTGTGCCACTGCACTCCAGCCTGGTGACACAGAGAGACTCTGTCTCAAAAAAAAATAAAAAATGTATAGCAGCAAGAATGTATCTGTATGTGCCCAGGGAAAATAATTGTAGTATCTAAAAAACTTTACAAAAGATTTGAATTTTGTTATACCATATTATTAAAGTTTTAAACATTATTAAAACTTTAACATTTCCAATTATGTGGTCAATTTTAGAATGCGTGTGATGTGATGCTGAGAAGAATGCATATTCTGTGGATTTGTGATGGAGAGTTCTGTAGATGTCTATTAGGTCTGCTTGGTCCAGAACTGAGTTCAAGTCCTGGATATCCTTGTTAATTTTCTGTCTCGTTGATCTGTCTAATACTGACAGTGGAGTGTTAAAGTCTCCCACTGTTATTGTGTGGGAGTCTAAGTCTCTTTGTAGGTCATTAAGAACTTGCTTTATGTATCTGGATGCTTTAATTTTTCACTTGTGCCACTGAACTTTGTCAGTAGCTACTGGTTTTCCCAAACAACACTAGGTAATCCAGCTAGTAATGAGTATTTCTAGTAGAAATTATTAACGCAAAATAAAACCAAAAGTATTTTTACTAAGGCAGTCAAGGTATACAGATTTTAATTTGGGAAATTTTGGAATGAGGAAAAAATGATCAATGAAAGAATCCCAATTTAAATAATTTTAGTAAAAGTAGTGGGAAAAAATTGGAAATATCATGTTACATAGAAAATTAAGGGTTTAGGCCAGGCACGGTGGCTCAGCCTGTAATCCCAACACTGTGGGAGGCTAAGGTGGGCAGATCACAAGATCAGGAGATCGAGACCATCCTGGTCAACATGGTGAAACCCCGTCTCTACTAAAAATACAAAAATTAGCTGGATGTGGTAGTGCGGCCTATAATCCCAGCTACTCAGGAGGCTAAGGCAGGAGTATCTCTTGAATGAGGGAGTTGGAGGTGGCAGTGAGCCAAGATCATGCCACTACATTCCAGCCTGGGCAACAGAGCGAGACTCCATCTCAAAAAAAAAAGAAGAAGGTTAAGGATTTGGATGAGCATGAAGGAAGGAGAAAGTACTTCCTCAAAGAAAACTAATCAGCATTGTAATTTTTAGTAGAATTTTCACAACCACAAACTGAAATCAAAAACATCCCCATCCATGACAAGGCAGAGAGAGGTTAAAAAAGAATACTAGATGTCAACATGTTGGTGGGTTTAAAGCAACAAGAATGGGTATGTGTCAAAACAGTCTGCATCCAATACCAAACTAAACAACTTCACATGTGTACCAAGGCCACTGCCTCAAGACTGCCTCGGAGCTTGACTCCTTAGGAGTTCGTATTGACATTATGATGTATGGGAATGGCAGTTTTTGGACCTACTCTTTGTAGGTAGCACGTGAGTTACTCCATGCTAAACATGCTTGGTTGACTTCACATATTGTTGCCATTTTGACTTGTTTTCATTTCCATCAAATATTTCTAATACGAGAACTGTACCTTTCAAGAATTTATATTGAATTCATACTATTTTATCTTTAAATATAGAAAAAGTATCTAATTTAAGAAATATGGCTATCTAGAGCAGCAAATGACTTTATATATTTTCATTTGCAGTAAACATATTTATGGAATACTACAGAAAGTTTCCCCCAGGTATACACTTTGATTTACAAGTGCTAAATGACCTTCTAAATTCTTTACTCAAACATTGTTTATTGAAAGAAGTATTTCAAATAGTGAACCTCAGCATAATGGTTAAAATACAGGTAAGTAGCCTGAAAATATATGTTATTTAATGTTTTATGTTAATCTATCTGTCATATTCATTGTTTGAATTTAGCAGTTGAATTTCTGTATTTGTTGTATTTCTGTATACTTCCTAGAGACCACCTGTGTTTTTCAACATAAATGAATTTGAGAAATTTAAGTTGTACTGAAAGAAGATCTGAAAATGAGTGTAACTTTTTTGTTTTATCTAGCCTTCTCTGAAAATATTACTGAACATATTTGAGCATGTGGCAACTATGAAATTAAGGAATGCTGTACCTGCTTTAACTGATATATTTTGCAAGGTATGATTTTATTTTCTCTCTTTTATTCTCTGATGGTGAGTAACCAAGAAAATAGTTTTGTTTCCATGTATACCCTTGAGCTGACTTTTATTCACATTCTGGATGCCAAAGAATTCTATTTCCAGAAGTATTTCTTTTCTCTTGAAATAGGTTTTTGAAAAAAGACTCCAGTGGCTGTTAAGTCTTCCCCTTAAATAGTTTCAAGCACTCAGGTGATTGCTTTTTGATGTATGAATTGTCTTTGTCTCTACTCCGTAAGGATGATTAAATAAAATTTTCTTTCTCTAAAAGAATCGAGATCATTTACAACAGAAATTTTTAAAAACAAACCAAAAAAGACTCACAAAAATATGAAATTCAACTTTTGTTAAATACTTTCTAATATTTGAGACTACTCAGTCATCTACTTCAGAATAGGCCTGATAGGAAAACTGCCAATTTTCTTTGAGAAGCAACATTGGAAGAACTCTAGCAGATGAACAGATATTTGAGTAAATACCTCAGGTTTCACGTTACAAAACTTAACAATTGCTTATCTAGAAATTTTTTTTGAATCAAAAGTTACTGATAACCCATAGTGGTTGTAGAAAATCTCAGTAAGGATCCTATAACGTGTTTGATACTTAATAACTTGGCTTTCTGCAAAATGTATCCCAGTGACTGTCCAAATAAAATTACCCTTAGTGGAGAATATCTAACAAAGACAATAATTTTCATCTTCACATGGCTAATATGAAGCCATCCATTCTGGAAGTTGTTTAAAACCAATACCAGTTTTCCCTGTTAAGACTATTTCAGATTCATTGATAACACCATAATATCATCATGGAGAAATATGCTTTTCCTCCTCTTTATTCTAGCAGTGTACCATACTTCATGTATTTAACATAAATATCACTGAGAAAAGATCATTAACATCTTATTTTTATACTGCCTTACATTGTTACCTAGTCTATTACAAAACAATTATTTACCCTGGTTTTTATGCAGTGTTAAAGGGCACAGTTTTTAAAACATATCAGTTACCAGATAACTGATTTGTTCTCTTGCAGGTTTATTTATAGTTGGCCATATCTATTTAGTCAAAAATCACTGCAAGGTCAGTGAATACAGTTAGACCACCAATGGTCCTTTCAAATGTTATAGAGCATAACAGTAAAAAAGTCATCATGCCCACTCCTTTACTTCATAATGTTTGGAAAACTATTTGTTAAGGTAGTGCATTGGTAGGTTTAGGAGAGGAGCTGTTTTCCTCTTTTAAAATAAAATTGAGCATGCTTTGAATCAAGAGGAGCTAATAGAGCTTAAGGATTAGAGCCTAATCTTTAGAATAGGATTCAAACAGTCATTTTTACAGAATCTTTCACCAAAACTATGTTTAGTTTAAGTTGTTTAATCACATGGCTTAGGGTAGCATTTCTAGGACCCATTCAAATGGGGCCTAGTACCACTAAATTTGCGACAGTTTTCCTTGGAGTTCCAAGTGGGGGAAAATCTCTCAGCCGCTTATTACTATTACCTTTCACTAAAAGAAATTTTGTCTCAAAATATATAATTTTAAGTTTTAACAGCCAACTTGCAACATTTCACATTATACCTTGGAACATGTAGCTTTTCCACTTTCCCCTGGTATTGTTTTGTTATCCTACCCCAAATTCTTATTTCCTCATACTCCCTTCAGATCTATACTGGAGACATAAAGCATACATTCTCCCAAACATTCAAAAAATATTTTGGTATTTCAGTAATTTTTTAAAGGGGGAATTTCTCTGAAAACTAGAATAGAACCACAGAAGAATCTCAGCCAAAATACTGCTCACAGAATTTCAGACACCACTCAGTTGAGTCATTCTTAACTCTCTATACCTTTGTCCAGGGTAGCATTGAAGGACCTAGTCATAATACCTTTGAATCAAGGTCAAGAGGATCATTTGAGCTGGAGCAACTAATAAGACTGCTAGCTCACAACCTTATACTTTCCCACTTTTCCAGGGTAATGTCATGCAAAAGAGCTGTCAGAGAAGGCCTGCCTCTCATTCATCTATTCTCACACTAGAAGTATCAAGATATTCCCCTGTTGGCCCTTCATTAGAGCTGAGGCTCATGAAGAAGACAGGAAATGAGTCATATGTGAATGATGGATAAAACCTTTGAGTTGATTTTTTTTAATTAAGTGCTGTATTACATGTGGGCAGTTAGTCAACCTGAGTTATTAATTTATCAAGGAATCACTGATTCTTCTCTGGTCATGGCTCTGTGTGAGACACAGGAACAGTATTTCTCAGGAAGTTTACAATCAGGGATAAGGTATGAACAGCAGTCCTAGACTAGAAGATAGACTGAGTACCAAATAAGAGGTATAAAAGATAAAGTGGTTGAGATAACTTAGACAACAGGAAGAAAATTCAAAAACTTAGTATTTTTTTTTTTTGCTTTAAATTCTTAAAGTAGGATATCCTTTTGTGGTTCTGTGCCTCAAATTTTTTAAATGAGTTTTATTCCACTTGTCTCCATGTTTCACTTCTTCCATCAGTGTCTAGGTTGTTTCACACACATTTCACACAGGGCTCCTCAATTCTGTCACATTTTTATAAGAATAACCACTCTTTTCTCTTCTACAGCTTATTGAAGCTGGGATGGTGCTTGATCCAGAGCACTTTAACTATATTGTTAAGCTCTTATACCAAGTACAAGCTTCCAAACAAGAAATAACTGCAGTTCTGGAAATGAGATCCAGGTGAGAAACATCATTATTATTTAAGCCAAAATATATGTGTCTTGGTGGGGACTTATAAAAGCTGAAGGCAAAGCCCTAATAACTGTTTGCATACTTAAACATTTAGGTAGTTACCCATCATAAAACCTTCTCCCAATTCTTGGCTATATCCTACTCTAGTCAGGCTGCCTCTGGCCAGCCTCACCTCATTTTTCTTAGTACATCATTTACTCTCAATGTCCTGCTCATCAAGTATAAAGAGTGTCTTTTATCTTCTGTTTCACTACTTAATTACACTTAGTGTATTTTCTTATATCTGTACAAATTACCTTCATTGTTTTTTCTCTTTGACTCACTTTTTGTTAGTTTAATAAAATACTTTAGTGCCCCTCCTTTATTTACTTTCCCTATTCAGCTTATGGGTCTCCAAAGACCTTTTAAAAAAAAAGAAAACTTTCACACTTCTACAAGTAGTACCAAAATATACATGACTTTAAAAAAATTATTAAAGTATAACATACATAAAAAAGATATAAATTATGTGTTTAAATGGCTTATAACTTTTTAAATGTATAGATTTTATAAAGAGCACATCAACCACTGAGATCCTTCAGAATGCCCAGAAATCTCCAATATGGAGCTTCCATCACTATTTTTATCTCATTTCTCATTACCCTCCAAGGCAGAGGTTCCCAGACTTTCTTGTTTCTGTGTCCATAGGCCAAAGGAAAGATCTTAACAGTCCCATTTATTAGTTAGGTCCAAACAATTAATAGTAGTAATTTGTTCAATGTCTGACAGATGGCAGCCTGAAAATTTAAAATAACCTGTGGTGTCCTGGTGAGTTCGCCATTGTGTCCTAGAGGCCTTGGTGCAGTTAAAAGAATTGTAGCTCTAAGTAGTACTACTTCTCTTCAATCACTAGCATTGAAATTAATTTGAGTTTTCCAAGTTTTATGATTTTTTAAATTTAATTATTGATAATTAACAATATTCATGTTTTCCATGAAAATTGTAACACTGTATAGACTAAATAGATTTTTGGGACTACCTAGGAAACAAATTTTACAAGAAAAATATAATTCATCCAGCATATAGTCCTGGGGTCTAATTTGTTTTTAAGTAGGGTGCATTGATGTTGTCTGCCAAACATTGAGTTCATTCTTCTCCAGAGTGATATGTAAAAAACTTTTCCCATTTTGGGCAGTGGCAGCTATGGCAGAGAGCTCACATGACTAGCAGATGTTAATGTCCCACCAGATTCAGTAGCAGTTGGCACAGAGAAAAAGCATATGCATCGAGGGTCAAGAGAATAGCAGTATCTTGTGCCCTGAACAGCTACTGAACTTCACCCCTCAGGCAATGATTGACAGCAGATCTTGTTAGTATATAGGAAGACTCTGGAACAAACCAGTTTTTAACATTTTTTTATTGATGCATAATAATTGTATGTATTTACGGAGTACATGAGTTTTGATGATACTTGTATACAATGTATAATGATCAAATCAGGGTAACTGGGATATTCATCATTTCAAACGTTTATCATTTCTTTGTATTAGGGACCTTCCAGATCTTTTCTGACTGCTTGAAATATACTGTACATTCCTGTTAACTACAGTTGCTCCACTGTGGTTTCAAACACAGGCAACACAATCACGGATATTCTTAGTCTATTTTACAGCATATAACTTTGAAAATTGTGTCTTTATACCCTTTGCCCCTTCCTGTGCTCCCACTTCAAAACCATTATAGTTATGTGCCCCATAATGATGTTTTGGTTAACGATGGACATATACCATATACCATGGTGATCCCATAGAAATTGCGTTAATGGAGCTGAAAAATTCCTGTCTCCTAGTGACATTTTAGCTGTTGTAATGTCAGAGCACAATGCACTACTGTTATGTTTGTAGTGTTACTCATGTAAACAAACTTTCTGTGCTGCCAATCATATAAAAGTATAGCATATACAACTATGTTCATTATCAAATATATATATATTTGATAATGATAATAAATTACTGTTACTGGTTTATGTGTTTACTATACTTTATTATTATTTTACAGTGTACTCCTTCTACTTATATTTTTAAAAAGTTAAGTGTGAAACAGACTCAGGCAGGTCCTTCAGAAGGTATTCCAGAAGTAGGCATTATTATCATAGGAGACGACACCTCTATACATGTGATTGGCCCAAAGACCTTCCAGTGAGACAAGATGTGGAGGTGGAAGACAGTGATATTGATGATCATTATTCTCTGTAGGCCTAGGCTAATATGTGTATTTGTGTCTTCGTTTTTAGCAAAACAGTTTAAAAAGTAAAAAAGATAAAAATAAAAATTTTTTAAAATAGAAAAAAGCTCATAGAGTAAGGTTATAGAGAACATGTTTTTGTACAGATATACAATGTGTTTATGTTTTAATCTGGGTGTTATTACAAAAGTCAAAAAGTTTAAAAACAATTTGTAAAGTTACAATAAGTTAAGGTTAATATTGAAGAAAGAAAAACTGTTTTCTAAATTGAGTGTAACCTAAGTATATAGTATTTGTAAAGTCTACAGTTTGTGTTACAGTTGCCTACAGTATTCAGTAGAGTAACATGCTGTACAGGTTGGTAGCCTAGGAACAATAGACTGTACCATATAGCCTAGGAGAATAGTGGGCTGGACCATCTAGGTTTTTGTAAGTACACCCTTATGATATTCACACAAAGGTGAAATCACCTAAAGACACATTGCTGAGAACATATCCCCAGCTGGGTGCAGTGGCTCATGCCTGTAATCCCAGAACTTTGGGAGACCGAGGCAGATGGATCCCCTGAGGTTGTGAGTTCAAGACCAGCCTGGCCAACATGGTGAAACCTCATCTCTACAAAAAAAAACAAAAATTAGCCTGGCCAACAATGGTGAAACCACGTCTCCACAAAAAATACAAAAATTAGCTTGTAATCCCAGCTACTGAGGAGGCTGAGGTGGGATAATCGCTTGAACCCAGAAGGCAAAGGTTGCAATGAGCCAAGATTGTGCCACCGCACCCCAGCCTGAGTGACAGAGCAAGACTCTGTCTCAAAAAAAAAAAAAGGCCCCATCAAATGATGCATGACTATATATAGTATTCTTTAAGAGGTACTAACACTGGTGACCTATTTGATGAAGGAGAGTATTTTGAGAGAGTGGGATAATAACTGGATAGTTAAGGAGTTTAGGTCGTGATTGAGCATGTGGACCCAGCCTCAAAGTAAAAGAAAAAAAATAGTATATGCATTTTATATTTGAATGTTTTTGACTCTTTGCAATAATCACACTTTTCTGCACTAGGCAAATAATTTTTTTTTTCTTTGAGACAGGATCTCCCTCTGTCACCAAGGTTGGAGTACAGTGGTGCAATCATGGCTCATGCATGGCTCACTGTAGCCTCAACCTCTCGTGTTTAAGCATTTCTCCTACCTTAGCCTCCCAACACTCTGGGACTACAGGCACGTGCCACCATGCCCTAGCTAATTTTTTTGTATTTTTTCAGAGGCAGGATTTCAATATGTTTCACAGTCTTAAACTCCTGGGCTCAAGTGATCTGCCTGCTTTGGCATTCCAAAGTAGGCAAATGAATTTTAATTCACATTTATATTTTGATTTTGATTATATTTTTAATTAGCTAGTTTACAGTTCATTTGAAAGACTTTCACAGAAGATAAGGCTGCTAGAAAGAATTTTAACCTTTATATTCAGGACATTAGTGAGAATTTTATATGTGCCTATAACCTAGGAAATTTCTTAACATTCAGTGATTATTTTAAAACATTTACATTTAAGTATTGAAAGTAAGTATTGGCTGGGCACGGTGGCTCATGCCTGTAATCCCAGCACTTTGGGAGGCCAAGGTGGGTGGATCACGAGGTCAAGAGATCGAGACCATCCTGGTCAACATGGTGAAACCCCGCCTCTACTAAAAATACAAGAAACTAGCTGGGCATGGTGGCACGTGCCTGTAATCCCAGCTACTCAGGAGGCTGAGGCAGGAGAATTGCCTGATCCCAGGAGGCAGAGGTTGCGGTGAGCCGAGATTGTGCCATTGCACTCCAGCCTGGGTAACAAGAGTGAAACTCCGTCTCGAAAAAAGAAAAAGAAAAAAAAAAGAAAGTACTGAAATTAAGTCTGTAACTTTATTATTTACTTTTTGTTTATCTCCTGTTTCCCTTTTTGTTTATTTTCTTGTGAGGATTACTTGAACATTTTTAAGAATTCCATTCTCATTATCTATAGTTTTTGAGTGTCTCTCTTTGTATGTTTTTTTAGTTGTTGCTCTCGTGCACTAACCTTTTGACTCAACAATCCCAATTCTACATATGTACCCAGAAAGTATACCTCTATCAATACAAAAATATGCACACCCAAGGTTATTCATTGCAGCATTGTTTATACTTGCAAAATATTAGGGACAATCTAAATACCAATACAGTAGATGAATAGCATAGTATATCCACACAATGAAGTACTTTGCAGCCATAAAAAAAATGAAGAATTTCTCTATGAATTTATTTAGAGTGATATCCAAGATATACTGTTTGTGTAAATGTTCCAAATACAATAACTAAAGGATTGCAGTTGGCAGAGTATATATAAAAATATGGCTATATGCCCTTTACAAGAAATTAACTTCGATTATAAGGATATAGGTAGTTGAAACAATATACCATTCAAACATTAGTTTTAAAAGGAGCATGAGCGATTATATTAATAACAAATAAAATGGAACTTCAGAGCAAAGAAAATTACAGGGACAAAGAGGGACACTACATAATGATAAGATGATCAGTATGCCAAGAAGACATAGCAATTATGAAAATGTGTGCATCAAAAAACAGCTTCGGAATACATGAAACAAAATTATAGAATTGAAAGGAGAAATGGACAAATCTGTAATTATAGTTGGGGACTTCTATATCCCTCTCCAATAGTTGATAGAAACACTACGATATCAGCAAGGATATAGAACTAAACACCACCGTCAGTCAACAGGAT